ATTTAACACTGTTACACACAGGAAAATTGACGAGACAAAACGACAGCTGCTCTAATTACCTATGATTGTGTGTTTTTTTCACAACCACAGAAAAAATCATGTGATGGTAATAAGCAGAAATGGAAAGAGGCAACAAATCATTCCTAGACACAGACAGACAGACTGACTGACTGACTGAACAGTGTTCATTTCCCATCATTTACGCTAAGTGCATAGGCATAGATAGATGACAGTCATTGGGCAAATTATTGCAATCATCAATAGTTTGAATAAATATCAGACTCATTAAATTTGGTTTCTTTTTATAACTATGTACTTCTTACAGGTGAAATGAAAAATAGGCATTTTCTGTCAAGACTTCATCAGTTTGTATGAATAATAACTTTTAGAATAAATACTTCTTCAACGAATACCATCCTTGTACTAAAGTAGCGAATATTCAAACGAAAACATGGCACCAGTCAATGAAATCCACAACAGTTAGTCTAAGCCAAGTAGGAAGATGTAGACTTCCTGGTTGGGGTCCTCGAGACGGTAAAAACCAATGGTTGGAAACAATTGGTGACATGGCTCAAAATCGTTCTCAGTGGCGCAGATGCATCCACTCCTTGTGACTTATGATTTCCGATGAAACTGTGTTGTTCTCCGTTATTACTATTCCTTTGTCTCAAACCTCTGTTTACTGTCTCTAATATACATTTCTTCTACTTTTTTCTCTTGCTTTATGTGCTACATGGAGTGTGGCGACTTGAACTGCCGCACATATGTGCAAAGTTCTATGTCGAAAACCGACCGACCGACCGAGCGAATATTCTGCATCAATTAGACGTTACATTTTCGGTGATGCTTAGGAGGGGAATTCTCGTTTGTGTATTTATCAGTACTGTCAGCTGAGAGTGTCTGCATCCGCCACAGTAATGGCTGGCTTCCCCCACTAAAAATCGAATCCAGAATCTTACTATTCAGATGACAAAGAGTTACATTTATGTGTTTGCCTGTATGACTGTGGTATGATATCGGTTAGAGAATTATTGAAAAGCATGGAGTAACGGGTAGTTATTTCGTCCTAGTTTGGGACTCTTAAGCAGCAAATACCCATGGCTCCATCGTGAGACTAGTCCAGAATGTTCTGGTTACTACACAGGCTCATCAACGTATCAGTTACTGCGGCAGAATCCTATAACCCAAATTCTAACCACTCGCCAGCTATGTGTCATCGGCGAGTATTTTTCCTGGTGGACCACACATATCCATACTTCTTGCTAGAGCTCCATACAATGGCGCAGATGTATTCAGTCTCTTTAACCTCTATATTCCTTTCTACCATTACTCATTCTGTTTCACTCTTATACTCATCTAAATTATATTGATTCTCTTCTCTCATTTACCTGTCTACCTTTGTGTGCTATTCTGAAGGTGGCGACTCGAACTGCTGCACTTCGGTGCCAAGTTCTATGTTGAATCCAGCCAGCCAGCCAGTCAACATTAAAAATGAGATTAGTTTTCAAGAGTTTCTTTAAAGGGATTTGATATATTTCAAGTTTCATCACAGATTATTATGACTTATTATTATTATTGTTTCCTTTAATTCCTAGAGGAACATAGGACTTCAGCCATGCGTCTCCATTGCGTTCGGTTCTCTGCTAGAGTCTTCACCTGGCTCCAAGTCTGACCACACGCTTTCATCTCCTCTTCACATGACCTCCTCCAAGTCACCCTTGCACTGACGACCAACTCGCTGCTTCCCTTTCGGGTTCCACTCGAGCAATGGCTTGTCTAGTGATGTCACTCACTTGATGGTTTCCTCAGAGTATGGCCAGCCATTCCATTTCCATTTCATCCTGCCTATTTGTTTCACAATCGGTTCCTGCTGGGTTGGTTCGCTCCCAGAGATCTCTGCTGCTGATCTTTTCTGTCCATCTGATCTTGAGTATTGAGCGAAGACAATTGTTATTGAAGGTCTGTAGTTTGTTTGAGATGCTCTTTATGACGCGCTGGCCAAGTCTCTGATCCGTATAGTAGCACTGACTGACTTCACATTGGAGTTGAAAATCTGGATCTTATTTTTGATGCTGAGTGCTGTTGATCTCCACATAGACTTGAGAGTAATGAAAGCTTGTCTTGCTTTTCCGATTCTTGCTTTGATATCCTCGTCAGTTCCGTCCACCTGTAGTTGAAACGATGCTTCCCAGGTAGGTCCTGAATTCGATCTCCTGTTGAGTCATAAGTGCGTACTAATGAAGAGTCCCAAACGAGGACAAAACAGGCCTCCAGTATTCCACGATCTTTAATAATTCTTTAACTGACATAAATCTGTTATCAAACCTGAAACAAATCAAATCCCAAATAAGATGAAAGTCGCCTCCTATATTGCACTGCTAATCACCAAAAGACAAAGAACTTCAAAACAGTAATCAGTGATAGCATCTAAGTATCCGTTCAAGGAGCTTAAATGACAAAAAGAAGTCGATTCATTCGATCCAGAAATATCAACGACAGAAAAGTAAAGTTTGTTTTTGAAACTCCTGGTCATTTATAAAGATTTACTGAAGCACTTAGTACAGACAACCTTGGTGATTGAATGACAAAGTCATTTTTCACTAGAGTGTGTGACTACGAAACTCTGTTACTCGAGAAGGTCAATTTGACTTCATTTTCTTAATTAGTGACGCCAACAAATCAAAGCAGCAAATGTAACGTGGTTAAACAATGTAAGTGTGAGACGACTATAATAAATCTTATTGTACATCTTTTAATTTCATATATCTACACTAGCGTTTCATGTATTTATATAAGGCGTAGTTTAGAAAAAATAATTAACTCTGAATTGGTTAAATACATTTAAATTCCATGGATAATATCCTTAGCTGATTGTGTTCCCTTCATAACATCAGTGAAATAACCAGTCACATCCAAATGTATCAAGGCAGTTTATGATAACCTTTATGCTAAATAATTGAAGTTTTTGAATAAAGCAAGAATAACAGTTTTTGCAGAATAATATATACCACCATCATTGTTTATTTCGTTGGCTTCTCATCAGCTGCTTACAGGCCAAAGTCATTATTAAGTATATCTACAGAAACAGTGTTAACGTACTTGAACAGAGAGTTCATTTTTAAACAGAAAATCAATATATGCATGCGCTGCTAATAATATTGGTTTTGTAGGGATTTTGTTTGATTGCATGGAGGATTTCATCATGAGCTGACATCAGTTAGAGAACCACTAGAAAACCTGGGAGTACTGGACAGCTGTTTCGTCCTGGTACTTGGGACTCTTCATCAGTACGCACCCACCGGGATTCGAACCCAGGACCTTCTGGTTGCAAGGTGAGCTCGTGGTTCTCTAACTGATGTCAGCTCATGATGAAATCCTCCATGCAATCAAACAAAATCCCTACAAAACCATTACTTGAAAATTAATCTGATGCTAACTAGTGACTGGTCCTATTCAGCCAGTTAACCTGGGGTTCTAGTGTGAAACCGTGACCAGTAGGGTACAGCAGGTTGAAGGTGAGGCAGTAACTCATCGAAGAAGACATTGCGAAATGGTCCCTCTATGTCATGAATTCGCAGAAGTTAGAATTCATGAACTAGTCAATGGATCGGGTACGAGTGGCTTAATGGTCTACGAGCTAGCTTGTTTTGTAACCGGAAGGTCCTGGCTTCGAACCCCTGTGGTGGGTGAGTACTGGTGAAGTGTCCCAAACTAGGACGTAACAGCTGGTTGTCCAGTACTTCTTGCAGGTTTTCCAGTGGTTCTCTAACCTATGTCAGCAGCTCATGATGAAATCCTCCATGCAATAATAATCATACAAAATGGAATTTTTGGTGTTACGTAATTGGGTGAAAGAGAGGATGAAAACATCCAGTTACCAGGGCAAGGAAAGACTGATAACCGCTTCTTTCTGAACGCATAAATCGGGCTTCAGTCGCTTGATGGAGCGTGCTTCGACAAACTTAATGATGTAGCAGCAGAAGGCAAGACACGGAAGCCATCGTTTATTTTCAAATGATCAAACCTCTGTTTATATGTATACAGTTTACATTCGTCAACCAGTCACTGAGCATGTGATTTTGGTTTACATTAAACGAAATGAAATAGAATGTCCAACTATACATAGTATTCTGTTGCTAACGCAGTACTGAACTGTGGGAATATGTGAGAGTAATATTCGGTTGAAACTCATTTTCTGTATCACACCACCACAAGGAGAATTGAACTCTTCTGCCTATTGATAATTTTGAAAGATCTTGCGACGTCCACTTCATGACCCTGGTAACTGGATGTTTTCATCCTCTCTTTCAACCGATTACGTAACGCTGAAAGATTCCATTGTGTATGATTATTATTGTTTGGGATAAAGCGATTATTACTACTATTATTAGCACCGTATGCATATAATGATTTTTTGTTTAAAAATGAACTCTCTGTGCAAGTATGTTAAAATTGTTTCTGTAGATATACTTAGTAATGACTTTGGCCTGTAAGCAGCTGATGAGAAGCCAACGAAATAAACAATGATGGTGTCATATTATTCTGCAAAAACTGTTATTCTTGCTTTATTCAAACTGAAGTTTTGATAATCGTATCAATAGGTAATAAGGGAATAAGATGTTTTATACTTGGACCATATTTCAAGTAAATCCAATGAAATGTTTCTGTCCCAGTTTTATAATTGTCTTCATATATAATCAGTTTACTGAGATATGCTTTTCACCTAAGCGTCACACTTCACTCTAAAAAACGCTTATCTAATATTCTACATGCCACTGACATAAATCCACCCAAAACTGTAGTAAACCATCTGTTCTATTCCTCACCGTCATGCATTCCAGACTGAACTGCCAACATATTTCCATGGGGTCGACTACCTGTCAAATAGTTCGGCTCCAGTGCAGCTGCAGAGTATTAAACTACCATCAAAATATTATTAAATTTTGATGAAAATGTAATACGGTATAAGAAATGTAGGAGTTTCACTTCAGGTAACTCACCTCATCACATTCACCTACTAGATAAGATGTTGAAAGATACTTTTCACCAGACAGTAGATTCTGAATTGATTCAGTTGTAGACGATCTCGGTATACCAGAACCTGTAAATAAATATGGTAAGAAGGAAAGTTAACAGAGGATTTTATAATATGATCTTTTAGAGGTTTGAGGGAATAATTGTCCGGAAAATCCCTCCCGAATGATCTAATTATAATATTGATGCTTATTCAGATGTTTCAACTAACTTTGTAATTACTTTCCTCCTTTCTCCTGGGTCTAGTCCCGACGATCGCGTATCACTTGTTGACTTGATCCTTGTTATTTGTATTTGCTCCCGTTAAACAGGAGCTTCTCTTCTCTGTTATGTGGTGATATTCATAATGTGTCGTCTTACGAATGCTATTTGCTTTCAGTGAGCCAAAGTCACTGTGACTTTGGATTCTCTGCTAGAATTCTTCGGTGTGTGATTCTTGCTGACAGAGTTCTAATCCCATCTTATTGGGAATGTTCTCCATGATTCTTAGGTACTTTTATAGTTGATTCGGTTAGATAATTCTGGTTGTATAGTACATATTTTGTAACTGAAAAGGAATTGGTAGATGATTCATTCCTATTGCATGTGTTGGGTGTAGATTCGATGAACAAAGATTCAGTTATCAACCTCTCTCTCCACCTACCTAGATTACATTTTTTTTAGGATTTTCACCCCCTCCCACCCTATTGTGTGGTTGTGTGTTAATGCATGCATTGCAATTGCCGAGCTTTTTTCTAAATTACTTATCTTCTCTGGGTCAACCATTCTTACGTTAGCTAAATTCTTATGTTCTGACAATCTGACTACCCCTGACCTACTAGTTTGACCTATGTAGTTGACCTCACAGTCATTGCAGGGTATTTTGTATATGGTATATATGTATATGGTATAACAGTGGATGACTTATATAAGTCATCCACTGTTATACCATATAAGGAGGGGACATCTGAGACCCTACTTAGTAGGATTCTGAATAAAGCAGGAATTAGGGTGGCATTTAAACCTACAAACTCACTCAGGGACAAGGTGGACCCAGTGGACCCAATTAGACAAAATAATATAATTTACAAAATACCCTGCAATGACTGTGAGGTCAACTACATAGGTCAAACTAGTAGGTCAGGGGTAGTCAGATTGTCAGAACATAAGAATTTAGCAATAGGAATGAATCATCACTCATCCCTGAAATATGGAAAATAATACTACCAATCAAATCAAGTGAAAATCAAGTGAAAAACAATGGAACTATATAAATGAATTTAGGAAGTCGTGTGATTAACTTGATATGATTATGAGCAATAAATTGTGCTCGAAACGTCATCAGTAAATATTACTGTATAACACTGTGAGACTCTATCAAAATAAAATTTACCCATAATGGAATTACACTCTACCACAGTGCCCAAGTTTTATTCTTATATCGAAAAGGAATTGGATCTGCATAGCAACTGTCTAGAGGTAAATATTGATGTACTTTTGACTATTCGATACGATACAGTCGGATAGGGCTGAAGATTTTATCGGAAATAACTGTCTTTTTACTATCGTCGGGATATTTCTGTGTAGTGGCTTTCTGTATTCAGATCATAACACACCAGTTTCCGTCGTTACAACAGAAAAGAAGATAAGATACTCAGTATGTTAATTTAGTGTGAAGCATCCAATGTAATATTAGTTCTTTGGAATTTTTGTTCAGATCATTCAAGTGACGAAAGATAACTGGCATACTATGCTAAGATGATAATTCCTTCGTGATTTTCGCATCACTAATGCAGCGAAAACTTCATGACACAGTCAGTCTTTAAGGACCAATGAAATGCCTGCTCTGGTCCTCTCACTGGAGGATATTGATGTTCCTTTCAAGTGGTTGTGTTCCGTGAACTGTATGGTTTAACTGCAAATCTTTGACTGTCCTTCTAAACAACATCTTAACAGCTTCTTTCACTGTGAATAATTTCGTCTTTTGTGGTTTGCTTATCAGTTTTAAAGAAATTTGAGTGCTGATTCTGGAGAAGCGGAGAGATCCGTCTTTGAGGCAATACCACAATTGTATTTCAATCCTTGATGGAGTTACTTTTCTATGTTTATAAGTAAGTGATTTGAAACTGTTCGTTTAGTATTTCTTTACATGGTTATTTTGAAATTTCGGTTAACTTTTCTTCTAGGATAGCTTGTCTTCGTTCTTCATGTCGTCTGTGTTACATTGTGAAGGAGATATTCAGTGTTGGTGAATAAGGTTTGTGAGCCGAAAGTTCCAACTTTCCATTTTTGAATCGGATGTTGTAGTTGAGTGATCATTTATTCCAGCATTTTTACTATCTCAAAAGTAAGTCAGTGGCTTATATCTAATTCTGAATATTAGGATTTGAAGTCTGAGACAGAGAAAATATTATTATTATTTATTATTGTTTCCTTTAATTCCTACAGGAACATAGGGCTTCAGCCGTGCGCCTCCATTGCGTTCGGTTCTCTGCTACAGTCTTCACCTCGCTCCAAGTCTGCCAACACGCTTTCATCTCCTCTTCACATGACCTCCTCCAAGTCAACCTTGCACTGGCGACCAACTCGCTGCCTCCCTTTCGGGTTCCACTGGAGCAATGGCTTGTCTAGTGATGTCACTTGATGGTTTCCTCAGAGTATGGTCAATCCATCTCCATTTCTCCCTGCCTATTTGTTTCACAATCGGTTCCTGGTTGGTTCACTCACAGAGAACTGTGTTGCTGATCTTTTCTGGCCATCTGATCTTGAGCGAAGTATTGAGCGAAGGCAACTGTTAATGAGATGCTCTTTATGACGCGCTGGCCAAGTCTCTGATCCGTATAGTAGCATTGACTTCACATTGGAGTTGAAAATCCGGATCTCATTTTTCATGTTTTGAGTTGTTCACCTCCACACAGACTTGAGAATAGTGAAAGATTGTCTCGCTTTTCCAATTCTTGCTTTGATATCCTCGTCAGTTCCGCCTGTAGTTGAAACGATGCTTCCGAGGTAGGTAGAGGAGGTTGTTTCTTTCAGTTTCCTCCCATTTATGCTGATCGTTGTGTGTTGTTGTTGTTCTTGTCCAGGAATCTTGATTACCTCTGTTCTCTCTATGTCCACCTGAAGTCCTATCTTTGATGCTTCTTCTGCCAACTTTTTGCTTGTAATGGACGTTCGACAAATTCTATCCATTTTCGAACATGTATATGCTTATAAATGTTCAAATCAAATTCACTTTTAACAGTTTGCAAAAATTTGGGCGCTGGGTATGTGATAATCATTATAATAAAGGTTTTTTGTATTTCCCATTGAGTGAATGAAAAACAAAACGATATTGCTGCTTTTACGGACGTTTCGCTATTTAATGTTGCTATTAGCCTTATCAAATTAATTATATTAAACCAGAATTTATAAAATCTCAGATTATACATCACAACTTAATCATCATTCCTCAGCATGGGGTAATTTCTACGTTGTCAAATTGACCAATTGGCAAAGATAACAAAGCCATGTGGAGATTGCTGGATTTGATAGGCGTATGCAATTAAATTAAAGGCAGCATGTGTTTACATAATGATATTGTTTATTACATCCGTGCTGATTTTGTCATTTCATGAGAGAAATTCGGGTTGTTTTAACTAGGTCAAATTCTGTCCATCATTGCAACTCAGACAATTTGAATTCCATCTGATGATATGAAGTGCTTCTGATATTAGACGCTCTTTCTCATTTCTGAAGTTTTTCTGAATGATGATTTCAATATTGTTAAAATCAGTTTGTAGCCTGATTCTAAAGTGTGCAGACGACCTATGGCTGATGGTTTTTCAAGCTTTTCTAGTTCAACTGGATTTATTTCCTGGTGGTCGGACACAGATGCTCTACGGTGTTCATTTCTTCTGATTTCGATTTCTCTCTGGTGATCTTTGTCCGATGTATATCGCATCACGTTCCAAGAAGGCATTTTAATTTTAAGACACAATTGGGTAGAGAATATTTAGGGATTTGGTCTTTTACATCGACAGGTTTGCTTTTTAGTATGTCGGGTTTTTCGAAGAAAACTCTGATGTTGTATATTGGTTGAATACACTTCTGATATCGTCTGACGTCTCTGCTCTATATCGAATGACCACTGTTGAGGTCCATTTCTTCGGAATACGTTTTAGACCATACTTAATGTCAGTGTTGATTTTGTTGATGAAGTTCTTTGGGTAGTTGTTTTGCTTGAGAGTCTCAGTTATGTTTGATATTTCTTCTTCTCCTTCCTTCTCATCCGTTATCAGATAGTGTGCTTGTCTAAGAAGACTTGAAACAAGTGATACCTTTGCTCTGATGGGGTGTGATGATCCCAAGTCTAAATATTTGTTGCTGGAGAAGGTTTTCTTCCTCTTAACTAGGCAGTCTAGAAATGGTAGTTCACCGACGTGTGATTCTGCTTCTGAAGTAAACTGGATGCTGCAGAACAGACCGTTCAGTTTCTCCAAGATTGAACTGTGCGTATTCTGCTAGTAGAATTTTGAATTAATGAAGATTTGCAGCTCTGGTGAATGTTTTTGATGTTGTGCTCTCCGCGATGGATGGTATAATTATGAAGCCTTTATTGTCCTTTCTGGCAAAATCTTCAGTAAGTAAATCAAAAATATTCACTTGAGTCACATATCTATTCTGCTTTTGCAAAAATGAATTTCACATATCTGAAGAAATCATCGAAGTATGAGGCCAACGTATTGGGAAGACGAAACATTAATGAAAATGAATCAGAATTTGACCTTCGGGTTCCACATCCTCAGTAGTAAAACATTCACTGTGATATAAGTTCCTTTTTCATTCCCTCAATATTTTGAATAAAATAATAAAATGATGGCAAACAACATTAGTATTATTTCCTTGTGTTAGAAGTGGAACATAGAGCCTCAACAGTACAACTCCACTTTCTCCTCTTCTTAGTAATCCGCTTTAGCTGGCTCCACGGTTCCTTATAATCCCTCATCTCCTTCCCACACCATCTCCTCCATGTCATATTGGGACGCCCAACTTGTCGTTCACCATTCGGGCTCCACTCGTGGACTAGGCGCGCGACTTCAGCGTGTATCCAATCTATCTTTATTTTCTTCGAGGTTTTTCGTGAGCAATAGGTCCTTCATTGGTTCGTTCTCCTAATTTATTGCTGCTAATTCTTTCTGGCCATCCAGTCTTCAGTTCAGAGCGGAGATAGCTGTTGACAGAAGTCTGAAGCCTGTTGGAAATGCTTATAGTGAGGTGTAGGCTGCATTTCTGACCTCCATACAGAAACTAACTTCACACTGATGTTGGAAATTCGAATTTTGTTTATTTATGCTGAGTTCAAAAGATTTACCAACTGATTTCAGAATGATGAAGGACTGCTCTATCTTCCAGATCCTGTCTTTGTCGTCTTCGTGTGTGCCATATGTAGTTTAAACAACAGTGTTTACATGCTGGAAGAGAGTGCCCTCTTTCAAATTTATTATTATTTAATATAGTGCGTCTGACAGTCACTAAAGGAAGGTTAGTAGGACAAAATCTTATCCCACGTTTTCAATCCATCATAGTTTACGTATGAAATGAACAATTTTGAATAGATAATCAACTCTGAAGAACAGAAAGACGATATTAAACAACTACTTACTGAATGATCTTAAATTCAGCTCAGCAGCTTGATCAGAATACACACTTGCTGTCATTTCTGTCTGAGGATAAATTTTCACATCATCCGAATGAAAATCACTATCCGACTTTGAATAGGTGTTCGAGACACTCGGCGAGGAGATATCACTAAACACTGAGTCGACTAAACAAGGCTGTTTAGTCTAAATACACAAAAAGGAAGCAGAAGAGAGAAAGTAAGCAGACAGCGAGAATACGACAGTATTTGCATTTTGAAAATAAATTTTTTAAAATCCTATCCCATTTCCTGTCACCTGTTTGACATCGTTTGCAAGTATGAGTTTGCAGGGTTTAGAGCAGCTCCGATTTATATCGCGAACTGTCATCAACTATTTGGCTACAGAAAACCAGGAAGCCTCAGAAATCTGTTTCATCCTAGTTCGGAACGTCTGACTAGTACGCGGATATGACCTCACCAAGTAAAGAACCCAAAACATTCAGTAAAGTCGTGAGTTCACTGGTTATTTAGTCAAACTTCCCAAATCCCACAAATACACGCTCCATCCCTGTAGTATTACTGGTGAAGGAGTCTCAAACTTGAATGAAACACCTATCCGGTACTCCGTGGTTTACAGTGTTTCTCTAACTGACGTGAGCTCGTTGAATATATATTAAATTCACATGGATTAATGGCTTTGAAAGTAGATTTTCTATTAAACACAACTTATATCACTGCATTTATATACGCTTAACTTCCGCTTAGTGGTTATGACTTGAAAGGAAAACTAAAGAATAACTAATAAGCTCCTTTTTTGTGATTGGTATCTTGAGCATAGTTTTAACCAGCAATCCCCTTAATCCTGAAGCCAACGCATGTGCATCAATGACTTCCTTGAGTACTGTGAAGCCATTTTCTTACCTACTTAAATTCCTTTATCAATTTTTTTACCAGTCTTACCAGTGGCTTAGCAAGGTAAATGAGTGCTTCGGTGGCCTGGGATCGATCCCCGAACCACCTGCGAGGTCGGCGAGCACTCTACCGCCGTGCCACCGACGCACTCCTTTGTCAATAGGTGATGCTAATTTTATAGAACAATCAGCGAAATCGAAACCTACGTCGTAAAGGATGTAGGGACATCGGCTCGTCACCTGTTTGTGATTGATCCGCACCATTCAGTAGGTAATCAAATCAGAATATTACTTAATTCACTATGGATTAAGCTAAACTCCCTTCTGTTTGGTTTATTTACCTTAATTCTTGGCTGGCAATGGAATCAAGCACGCGTGTTTCTCCTCACTTGGAACTCTTCAGCCAAATGTACCTGCGTTCCAAGTGAGTGGTGGTGCTCCCATTGTGTCATGCACCCACTCCTTTAATGATTGCCAGAAAGCATGAAACCTAGGTCCAGGGCATCTCACCTATCACCTTCAACACCCTAATGACAACAATCAAGTATTTTCATCCAGTAAAAAGCAAACAAGAGGAAATACAATTTAACAGAAGCCGGTGTCCCCCAAGGTGCTGTACTCTCCTCACTTCTCTTTTCTTTCTTTCTACATGACATACCATCTTTAAATGACATTGATTTTGTCAAATATGCTGACGACCTGACTGTATCTTTGCCTGTCAAATGTCAAAGTGACTGCTCTAAACCAAATGGCTTTCTGTCAGAAATCAGCCAGTGGTTCAAGGAAAACGGTCTTACCGTAAACCCCTCCAAATGCCAAACAGTCAATTTCACCTTTAGGCATAAATCCGACCTAAACAAACTGGTTGACTCTCACGAGGTATGCAACATAGACGGCACTGAAATAGAAACCAAGTCGGAAATTAAATACCTAGCCGTCATTCTATCTGCTGATCTTTCGTGGTCATCTCACACCTTGATGATTTCTAAGGAAATATTCCGTCATACCTTCTACATCAAGGAGTTAAAACATTCTGGTATAACCCAACCCTTGCTCCTACGATTTGTTAACTCTTGCATCCTGCCTATTATTCTCTATTGTTCCCCCTTAGTTTTACCAGGGTTACTGAAGAAAGACCATACCTTATTATGCAGGATCTTAAAGGTTGTCAGCAGGGTAAGCAACGTGCCACTCAACCAGTTTGTTAATATTTTGGTTGACAGGCTCTTGGACTCATGTGGAAAATAGGCTAAATCCATTCTGTCTAACTCACACCACCTTCTTCACTTACAACTCTCCCCTTGCATTTCATCAGGCAAAACCAGAAGCCTACAAAGAAAACTATATGCTCGCACCAGCAAGTACAAAAAGTCAACCGTACCCTACTTAGCTCGTGTTCTGTGTGATAAAGAAAGCATTAGGCTTGACACCTATAATTCATTTAATAGTCAGTAGTACAATTGGACTTCGTCTTTCCAACTCATATCATTTATAGGTACAACATTTTCTTTCTTTCTTTTCCTTTTCTCTCTCTCTTTTTTCCGTTATGTGCTGCTTTGTTTCTTTATCTCGCTTACTCCAGTAAATATGACAGCACCTACTTTTCTAACACCTTCAAACACTTGGTTCAACTTTGGCTTTGCTTCCGACATGCCAGTATGTTGTTGTCATAATGAACTGAGATTTCCTTAATCTATGTAGTATTCTATTTATTGATAATGTACTAACTGGATGCAATACTGTAATAAAAATGCTGAGAATTCCATTCTGTATCACATGTACTGTTTTGGAATAAAGCAAATTATTATTATTATTATTAAAATGACTTACTGTAATACCAGTCTGTCTTGTTAAGCATTTGCTAATAGACATATGAGAAGTTAAAGCATTTAAACAGCGTTTTATGATAAGTTCATTTCTAGATGGAGTATTCTGTTGTTCACCTGATGTTTTCATTGAATCTTCTTTTGAACTGTCCTCCTCCTCCTTCTTCAAGGTGCACTCTGTTTCTTCAGTATTCACCTTACTACTACTACTACTACTTTCAGTCTTATTTTTCAAATTAAGTGTTGTCGGTCTTACTGGAGGAGAAGACCTGTTGCCGTTGTTGTTGTTATTTCAGTGAACGTGTTCAGATAAAAATAAAATAAGAAAAGCCATTAGTTAATTAAGTCAACATTCAATGTATATGACTATAGTTTTCTGATACAACTACTAAGAATTCTTATTAAATACAGTTCAAAAATAAATGATTAAATGAAGATCACAGTGTCTTGTATATTCTAACTGCTTACATTATTTGAAAGACAGGTTTAAATGTGACAATTCCTAAATCGAATGATACTTCCCTTACATCCAGTAACATGGAAGATAAGCAGACTAAGCTGGTAACCGACTCAATTCCGAAGAAAACCTTATTCATGAATTTGGAATTCAAAGGTGATCAAGCTTCAGAAATGCTCAAAAACCGTATTTCTAAAGCAGTCAGTATGACGTTCTTTGCAGCAAAATTACAAATCGCATTTAAATACATAATTTTACATGGAGAAAATTCTTGTTTGATTCTACATAATTACGACGGCGAATAAAAGGTGTTAATTATTTCCAACTAGATATGGTTTTTACTAGAGGCTTAGAAACAAAATTACACAAGATCCTTTGATCCTACTCCCTCAGTCTTCATTCGATTCACCCCATTTTTTCCAGTTATAAAAACAGTTATTTTAAGTTTGTTTCCATGCTTTTCCTGTTCACATTTATAATTCGTTTTAAAAACAATCGACAATTATGTCTTAATCCTGTGCAATTTTTTGTGTTTCTAAGGCTCTTGTAATCTCTATTCACACCTCCTAACTTCTGTTTCAAGTTAAAATTATTATATCAATTTTTGTTTCCATGCTCATTTTCTATACAGCTGTAATTCGCTAAATCCCATGTAATTTTGTTTCTAAGGCTCTTGTAATCTATATTCGCACCTCCTGATTCCCATCCCAAGTTGAAAATTATTATTTCCATTTTGTTTCCATGCTCATTTTACACACTTGATATCCGTTCTAATCCTGTGTAATTTTGTTTCTAAGCCTCTCGTAAAAACCATATCTAGTTGGAAATAATTAACACCTTTTATTCGCCATCGTAATTATGTAGAATCAAACAAGAATTGTCTCCATGTAAAATTATGTATTTAAATGCGATTCTACAGCTTTTGAAAATGAAATTACTGAAAAGATATCTTTGCTGAACTTCATGTTCTCTTCTTTCTAATGTCCATATGGGTGTTTTCCACGATCTGAAAAATTACAAATGACGTTCACCAGCCGCAAATTGTTTTCCATCTCTGCAAAAGATAAGCTCCCCCGTCTGGCCGTCTCCATGTGCATCTATCAGTTAACCTCCTCTTGTGGAGCAAGGTACATTGACTGTAGTCAGAGGACGCTTTCCACACGGATACCAGAATATATTCCAGCATGGTTTTACAAGGGAGAAAAGAAGTGTATGTGTGAAGCTCAATTCTAGAACACCTGATCGACTTCTGTCACTCTGCCAACCCTGACCATGACTTTTAAGATCATCTACTGAATTCATGCTAACTTCCGCGTTTTCTTCGTTATAGATTTCTAAAGATAGCGGAGGCCTTGGCAATTCATGACTTTAAGCCAGACCTTTTTGTACAAAAGAAGTGAGTACAGTACCTAATTCTGCCTTGGCCGTAGAGGGATAGACGTTTATTTATTTATGTATTTTGTTTATTTAGTTATTCTATGTAATTTTCCCTTATTATTGCATTCATTAGTATTATTATTACTATTCTCACTCTGAATCGTTCCCGCTTGTTCCACTTGTCATTCTAAATCCAAAATTATTATCTTTATTGTTTTCACAATACTGAATTCTATCTTATCAAATTGCACACCATATTGTGTAACATTTTATATTCTTCTATTAATCCTATAATTATGTACCCCTTTCCAACATCTATACACCTCATGTATTATTCTGTATGTGACATTAATTGTTTTGCTACTTGACACTTAACTACGATTATAATCACAAATATTTTAATTACATTTCATACTAATATTATTTCATGTGTTCACACTTTTGATCCAATTCCCTGACCGGATAAAATTTCTTAAAAACCATACATATGCGATTGTACAGACTGAAAATAAATTCATTGAAAAGAGTCTCTTCGCTGAATATTGTATTCTTAATAATGAACTAGTTAATTAGTAAGCTGCATGTCACATGGCATTCAGTCTCTATTCAATAGGATTGCTTTACTGCCACACTCATGGTTCAGACTGACGTACTCCTAAACCTTGCCCAGTTGTCTGACCAGTTATAAACCTTGGAAAGCATTAAGTTTGAACATGAGACTGGTAGCCCGGCTGCTGGAACTTCAAAGGCTGAAGTTCCTTGTCCTACTTAGAATGCAAGGAATGCGAAAAACATCAAATAAGAAAATATAGGCGGATCTTCAGCCAAACATTCATTCTCCTTTGCTAAGTTTCTTCATGTGAATCTAAATAAACATTAGCAAACGATGTGGTTTCTGTATTCATTAGGGAAGAAAAATGATGATGCTATCAGGAAAATTAGTCATTAGTTCATCAAGGAAATCATTTCAAGTACTCAGCTATCTATACTCAAATTGATAATCAGCTCGAACCACTCCTGTAGCATAAGTTCATATTTGAAAGAGACGAAGAGCACTCCAAAGAAATGAAGATTTTATCCCACAGTGTTCCAAAAACTGCGATATGTTTCTGTCTGCACAACTAAATGCTACTTGTAGTTGAAATATATATAAATTGTCAAAACCTAATATGTATGCTTGTGTCCGAGGAACATTTCAAAGGGTGAAAATATAATTTCAGATGGACAATGGCATCTTCAGCATTAAATTAACCAAACTGATTTGCCTATTGTCATTTCAGGAAAAGTTTTCCTCTTTCATAAAAAATGGAATATTTAGTCATCTATGAGGATGTGTTGAAATTAACTGGAATCTCCACATACTATCCTACTTTTAACTTTAATAATCCCTCCTTATAATTCCTTACCATTATAGCATTATGCCATTATGTGTGCGTCCGTGGCACAGAGGTAGGATGCTCGCTGACTACGCAAGTGCTGACACACTTCCTTACCTCGCTAAGCCAGTAATAAGACTGGTAAAGAGGGAAGCTCAGACATGAGGCTAGCAACACCACTGCTACCGAAACTTCAAGCCTCTAGCTTGAAGCCCCTATGTTCCACTTGGAACATAAAGGAATAAAATAAATTTTAATAATAAAATAATTATGCTAAAACAACTCTGAATTAAAAGCATAAGTTCCATCTAGTTATCCCGCTTCAGAATGGGGATACCAGTCAGAACTGAATTGAAAGATAAATATCAGTGGCTGTAGTACAAATAAATTTCATTTGAACTACTCGCAAAACCTTCCTGCTCCATTATCTAGCTGCATTTCCTCAGGATATCCATTCTTCGTGGAGATCTTACCACTTAACATTGTTTTCATCGGGTTTGTCTCTGTATAGAGCTGAAATAATGGATAGTTGTTAATAAGCGATGATTCCGTTTTTTCATCTTTTATTCTCCGTCTTGGCTACGAATGTTTTAATCAGATTAAATTTAAGTCTGGTAATATCATTCATTTGAAACGAGAGCAAAAGGGTTTACCAACCTTTGAATGCACATTATCACCCGTCTTTTACAGTATACCAAATATAAAGCGATGGGACCCCAACACTAACATCACTTAGAGCCTTAGCTACTTATATGTACAACTTCTGACAGAATTAATAAACCGTACAAATTCATGCCTCCCTGAAAGCGGTGGCAGCTGTGTGTATAGTCATGCAGGCTACAACAATCCTCAGTTGATGTGTGGAATTGAATCAGAACTGTTGTACATTGGTTGAAACTCAAGTACCTAAGTTCATAAGCCATTTTTAAAATTATCTATATAACCAGTGACCATTTGACGGTAGTCTTCCAATCTTTATAGTGTATACTCCGTTTTGTTTAAATCTAGTGAAATGGACAGTGGGAAATACTTAATGTCGGTAAAAAGTTTGAGCATTGTGGAATAGATCAAATAAAGTATAATTATTTTGATCAATTTTAGATTTTCCCATCGACTGATCGGAGCGAAGTGCTCAGTCTCATGTCGAAATGTCGGCTTCTTGTGCAGGTGCTTCGACGATATCTGGGCATGTAATTGGAAGTTAATTGGTGGATGGTAACTAGCAGTGGAGTCTAGGATGAGCATTTCGTTCTATTTGGGACTCATCATCTGGATGTACCTGCATTCCGCAGTGAGTGATAATGTTCCCACCGAGGCTCTAACCCAGTGCCCATAATTTCAAACGCTCTCGTGGCCCAAGTGGTCTAGTGGATAACTCCTTGGCAATTAAAATTATGGGCACTGGGTTGGAGCCTCAGTGGAAACATCATCACTCACTGTGGAGCGCAGGTACATCCAGCTGACGAGTCCCAAATAGAACGAAATGTGCATCCCGGACTCCACTGCTAGTCACCATCCAACAATTAACTTTTAAAGTATAATTATATTTCATTGGTTTACACACAATGATAAGTTTTTGTTTTTGGTAATGTATCGAGCAAAATTACTGCCAGTGTTCACACCAGCTGCTGGAATGGTTTCTTTAATTTACACATTTATGATTTCTACTCAAAATATTTTTTATTTATTTATTTTTTTCCTTCACGTTCCCCAGTGGAACATAGGGCTTCAAGCTAGTGGCTTGAAGTTTCTGTAGCATTGTTTATTTTACAGGATGGGGTTGATAGCCTCATGCCCAACCTTTCCTCTTCACCAGCATTATTTCTGGCTTAGCGAGGTAAAGGAGTGCGTCGGCCGGGATTCGAACCCCAGAGCATGTGCATGGTCGACGAGCGTCCTAACCGCTGTGCCACCGACGCACTACTCAAAATATACATAGTTCTTTTTCTGTTCACTCGTGTTTTTGTATTCAGAATTATATTCCAGGTTGTTGACATTTGTGCTGGGTCACCCTTGTTACATGTATCCGGTGTGACCTTAATGAATTTGGATTCTGTTAAAAGTCTCTTTCCATTTGTTCATGTTAGTTTTTAGAATACCAACATTGTTCCAATCGAAATTGTGGTTTTTTCCCATCCATGTGCAGCTATAGATCAATTTTTTTCTAAATTCTTGTAAACTTGTGTTCCTGTTGGCTGACTTTTAGTTAGGCGTGTATGTTCATTCACTCCTGTTTTGAGTGATCTGGCCGTTTGCCCTACATATTTAGTCGGATATTCAGCACAAGATATCTGTTTGTAAATCACATTGTTTTTATCCATCATTTTTATTGGATCTTTCAGCTGATTTATTTTATTTTTTATTAGATTCGTCTGTTTAAACGTTGTGCGAATCCCAATATTCTTGAGGTTTCTTCGAAATGCTTCTGATGTACCATTTTTGTATGGTATTGTGACTTTTTTTGTATTCTTCCATTTTGTCATTCTCCGGTTTTACCCTCTTTTTTCTCTTATTTTTGATAAATTCTTTTAGGTCGTTGTTGTCCAGTAACATTTTGAATAGGACGTTTATTTCTTTACGCTGGTCCTCTGGTGTTATTGTAAGTCGCCTACGTATTCTATCTACAAGACCTTGTATTAATCCTCGTTTTACCGTGAGTGGATGAGCTGAGTGATAATCAAGAAATCTTCCACCTTGTGTAGTTTTTCTATATAGCTTCGTTTTTATGCTGTCATCTGTTACTCTTTGTATTTTGCAGTTTAACATAAGAGACAGTTCCCCAACTTCACTCTCTATTTCCATACTGAATTGTATTAAGTCGACATGCCTGTTTATGTGCGAGAAGAATTTCTCAACATCGTTTATTTTCATTATTATCTACATATCTCCACCAACAATTTATTGATGACCTGAATAGTCTGAGTGTATTCTCTTCCAAAAAATCCATGAATATGTCAGCTTTGGGCAATACGTTGCTAAGATACTAAAATAACCATATCTGTTCCTGCTGAAGCATTTTAACAGCTTAGCAAAATAATGATCATCTCAATGTATATTTTATATAATTACGTCACATTGTCTGACTACTTTTCGACTAAAAGAAGGAATGGGTGTAGGCTAACTTATTATATAAGGACTAAAGCCTGTTTTCTCTGTGAAATATTACGAACTAAGGAACCAGGAGAATCAATGGAACATTTTACATGTGACGAGAACTTAATGTTCAGTGCAATCCAAATCTGAAAACTTACAAAAACCAATATTCCGAAGATGATCTGAAATTCAGCAGTTCACATTTTACTATATTCATTCGGATTTTTGACTGTCAAATACTCTTTAGTTTCAGTTTCCCAGTTCTTCAGTCTCAAATTCAACTAAATAACATGAGTCGCCAGCAGAAATCCATAAGGTAAATTTTTCATGCCTGAGTTGCTCTAGTTTGCCTGGGTATTTTGCTCACAAAGTGCATGCCCATTAGTTTCAAGTGGTAAGACTTGAGACATCTGAGCTTATTATTTTACAGAGCATTGCATAATCTGAGTCGTGCAACACAACAAAGGACCTAGTCAGAAAATGTCGACAAGTGAACACTGATCTCTCAGTTGCCCTTCTCGACCGGCAATATTAGGTAACATAGGATCAAGTTGGAAAACAGACATTGATGGTCAAACCAAAACATATACTCATTAGTCAATAATATCCTCAGCGGTTAGTCTAAGTCATCGGCGTAGGCAGGTGTAGACTTCCTGGTTGTGGTCTTTGGGACGGTAAACACCAATGAAGGCTGGAGGCAGTTGGTGATATGGCTTGCTCAGAATCCTCGTTCTCAATGGCTGGCACATATTCATATTCTATTGGCCTCATATTTCTGTTGATTATCTCTCTTTTGCATCTCTCTTTACTCTCTTCTCTTCTTTTGTGTGCTACATGGAGTGTGGCACTTCAAAATGCCGCACATCTGTGCAAAGTTCTATGTTGAAACCGGTCAGTCATTCAGTCAGTCCCTGAATTCCAAACTCAACCTTGACTAACATGATCACAAGCAGCAGAAACGCAACCTGTGTCGTGCTAAAAACCCAAATTAAACACTACCACCTTAATTGATCTTGGTGAGTAAACAACTATCAAAATGATCATACTGAAAAAACTCGAAATTCATGTCAACATTGACGAATCAACTAAGATCCTATCACTTATCAAGTGCGCAGAAGAAAATGGAGGTGAATCGAACACACTTTGAGAGGATCGTTGAGTGACATTACATGCCAGGCCATCGTTTTAGTGGAACTCGGATGGGAAGTGATGAGTTGGGTGTAGGTATGTGGGTGATATGGGGGAGATAATGTGAGAAGTTAGTGAAGGCTTATTAGCAATCGTGTGCCCCGACTAAGGAGAACTGTAAACAACATGATGAATTGGCGATACGCCGTTGAAGACCGATGTTCCATCAGGAACCCAAAGGAATAATAATATAGTAAATTAATTTCTAATAAAAAATAAAATTAGAGAAATTAAAATACGAACAATTCTTACAACTTTCTATCCTTATTACTATTATTGCTATTATCATTGACAGATGGAGGGTTTTCAACGCATTCCTTTGTTTTCTCGCCAGTTTCTGAGTGGTTTTGACTTTCTGATGATAAATGGGCTTTAGGTGTATCCAACTGATGATGGGGATCTGATGGTGTCGTGTTTGAATCGTCAAAAATATTGCGTAGTTTTAGCATTTGTCGTGTTTTTTCCACCTGGCAATAGAAATAAAGAGAATCACTGAATGAAATGCTCCCTGAATAAGCTAAAAGACGTGATAATACATGGAATAAAGTTAGTCAATCAGGTTAAATAAAAGGTATTTTTAAGAACTTAGAAGAAAACAGATTAACTGTCCTACACTACTAGTTGGTTCTAGACCCAAACGGCGAATAGTTTTACTATCCTGTGTTCAGAAGACGAAGAACCTTTCATCTTATGAAGATTCAAAACTGAACACCATGCATCAGAAAATATACTAAAGACGACACAGCATTGAAAAGCTGTTCATTCCTCTTAGGTTCTGAGTGGAACATAAATCTCCAGCAGTATACCACGATTTCTCCGTGTTATTTTCAGCCATGACCATATGCTCGCATTTCCTCCTTACAAGATCTGAATGTCACCTCCGAGCTTATTCGGCTTCAACTCGAGGGCTTGCCGCTTGGTACCCATCAGTGACCTACTCAGCATATGTCTTGATTGATTCATTGCCAGAGTTCCATGTAATCTACTTATCCTATCTTTCTATCTAATTTTCAGTAGAGAGAGAGGGCGGCTGCCAATGCTCGTGAACGCTGAATAGTTTGTTTATTGGAACTGATTTCCATTGGCGAGATACAAGAAGTCTATCACTGCTTAATTGTCTACTGATTGGCAGAAGATTGGAGAAATACGATTAGCAGTATAGTCGTACATTATATTAACGTTTATTTCCAATTAATAGTGTTCTCTGAGCTTTCGTCGTCCTTCTGGACAACATCTTCAGCGCAATATTTAGCACAAAGTGAAATGATTTAAATTTCCTTATGAGTGATATAACTGCGTCTGCTGGTAACCATCTTTACATATGCATTGATCACTTTCTATTGACTTGAGGTTAAAATTTCTGGTCTCATGATTTACTTTTTGTTAGTTTGTATACTTCGTCTATATGTTAACGTGTTTGTTAATTGCATTTTCGTTTGAGTACCAGGCTTCTAGGAATTCCCTGACTGCACTTTTGGTGTTTCCTCTGTCTAAGATTTCGACATTATCCCAATCAAATTGATGTCCATAACTCTCCATATGCATTGATACTAAAGAATACATATCGTGTCTTTTCACGGCTGATTTGTGTTCTTGGATTCTAATTCGAAGAGGACGCCCACTTTGGCCGACGTAATGCCTTTTACAGTTCATACAATTTATTTTGTAAAAGGTATCAATTTTATCCCCTTTTTCTGTTGGATCTTTCGGTTTGCATAATATCGAATTAGGCGATTTGACTGTCTTGCGCGCTATATCTATTTCAAACGGTTTCAGTATTCTAGCTGTTATTTCAGAGATATTTCTTATGTATGGAAGGATGAATTTTCTTGTGGTCTTTGCTGATGGTTTCTTGTTGGTGTTGTGATTCGACTTTAAACACTTTTTGACGAAATTTTGTGGATAACCATTCTTTTTGAAGACCGTTTGTAGGTATTTTTCTTACATTCTTTTCAATTCTGGAGTGCTACAATGCTTTTAAACTCTTTTAAACAATGTCTGCACACAGTTTCGTTTGTGAGTAATTGGATTATTGCTAGTATAGTTGAGTATTTGATCTGTGTGCATTGATTTTCTATATACTTGTGTTTCTAAATCTCCTGTGTTGGTTCTCCTGATTAAGACATCTAAAAATGGGATTTTGTTATCTAATTCTTCTTCTCTTGTGAATTGGATGTCTTCATATATGTTGTTTATTAATTTATGGGTATATTCTAAATCATTTCTCTTAATTATTACAAATGTATCATCACCGTGACGTACCCAGATTTTTGGTTTAATTATAGGTAGAGCTATTAATTCTAATCTTTGCATAACGTCTTCAGCTATTAATCCTGATTTGTTTATTTACAGAATTTGGCACTGAGAAACAATTGTAAATCTGTTTCGTTATCACTTGAAGAATAAACGGTCAAGTCACCCAGCCGTTTTCTGTTGTTCTGCGTCGGTTACAGAGCATAGTCCCTGTGTGTATTAGCCTTAGTCTTCTGAAACCGGCGATAGATCCAGGATCTTTGCTATCTGGATATTTGACAGCGGCTGTCGATAAGAATGTTGTAGTAGCCTGCTGGAAATGCTTCCTGTAAGGCGCAAAATTTCTGAACTATATGAAAGCACTAATTTAAAATCCGAGTTGAAAATCTGGATCTTGTTCCTTACACTAAATACAGCAGGTTGTATATATTGTGAATGGATGTTTGTCTTGCCTTTCTGACCCGGGATTAGAGTATTTCAGTAATTTGTGCATTTACAGAGAATTCCAGTGAATGTAAACAGTTCGACAGAACAAATGTCAGTTACATCCTAGGATAGTGGACGAATGGACTAAGAATGTAGTACTTCTCCAGGTATTAGAATACACTTGTAACGGCTCAGTCCCAGCCGAATAAATTACAAAATGATTGTGCTAATTGGTTACAGGATTTCATCATGAGCTGACATCGGTTAGAGAACCATTGGAAAGCAAGCTGGGAGTACTGGGCAGCTGTTTCGTTCTAGTGGTTCATCAGTACGCACCCACCGCCAGAGTTCCAACTCAGGACCTTCTAGTTACAAGGCAAGCGAGGTCATAGACCATTAAGCCTCTGAGACCCGATGCAGTGGCTAGCCCATAACTTCTAACTTCCGCCGATTCATGATATAGCTCGTGACCACTTCGCAACGTCTTCTTTGATGAGTTACTGCCTCACCTTCAGCCTGCTGTACCCCACTAGTTACGACTTCCCACCAGTATTGAAAATAACACAAAGTTTATCTAACACTGCTCAAAACATAGTCATGAGATGTCTGTAATAGTGAACTCTGATAAAAATATGAAAGATATTCACTTTCATCATTCTAAGAATTCAATACTCGGGGAAAATGAATTCACAACTAACTGAATGCACCCACTACACCAGTTAGAATGACTATCGATAATATGTAATACTGAATACAATATCAGTGAAAAATAAGACGAACATGCCAAATGGGGCTAACTCGTTTCTAACATTTTACAAAGCGAATGTAGTGTTACTTTTTTCACAAGTGATCAACGAAACATCACACAACGAAGGATTAAATGTTCAGGTACTTTTGACAGTGAACTGTAGAAACCTACTGACTTCCTTGACTGTTGAGGAACTAGCTGGATTTCTGCCGTACTATGTCCAGCTTGCTGTAGTGAACGTCAAAACTAGTTTTTTACAGGGTTTGTGTCAATAATCACGAATATTCGAAATGGTTCTGGGAAGCATTGTGAGGAAGTTGCATATATATACGCATCCTGGAACTCCAATGAAATATTTCCCAAAGACTTTCAGCCCTATATGAATTACTCCCCTGATAAATGTATCCCTCGACATTCAAGTAATTTACTATAGTTTTGGCTGAAAATATATTATCCACTTGATTAACTGTCCCCATATCTAATACACTTACCTTCACCAGGTTTATTTTCTGAATAACTTCCATGTAGTTAAATATAAATACTAACTTCTGGGGAATATTGTTCATTTGTAAGTCGCTTTGAAATCAAGCCATCCCTAAATGAACATTTGCGATGATAGAGATCTAGTAAAAGATAGAATATTCATAGATAGTTGGCTTTTTAGAAACTTAGCATAATGTTAAATTTTTCTCAGCTTTTCTCACCATTTCTCAAAGTGGAAATCAATCTTTCTAGTATGATTTACAAGATTTGAAACTCATTCAAATATCTTCCAATTACATACCCAATGGTACATAGTAAAAATTGATAAAAGTAGTTTGAAACCAGTCACTCTCCTACCAGTAGTGTCTACCACCCGATTATATGTGATTTAAACACCGGACGATTAAGTAAATTAGCGGTGCATCAAGACAAGTTCAGCCTGAAGAACCCAGTGAGTTCGAACCAGCGGAATTCTCTCTGGCTTCTTCAGCAAACTAGTAATAATTTGCTCATCACATTATTTGAGGAGAAAATCCACCAGTTTCCTTCAGTAACCAAAACTATTCAGTTAGAGAACCATTGAAAACCAACCAGAGAGTACTAGACGTCTGTTTCATCCTAGTTTGGGAATCATCGGCAGTACATACCCAGTGGAACTCGAACCCAGGACCTCCGGTTACAAGTCAAGCTAGCTTGTATACCATTCACTCACTGGGACCCGATTCACTGGCCAATGCATGAATTCTAACTTCTACCAATTCGTGATTTAACGTGACCCCAATCAATGCCCAATGAGGTCCATCCAGTCACTTGTGAGGATGGATGTCCCACCTATGACATTGGTTGGGGCCGCGCTAAATCATGAATTGGGAGAAGTTAGAATTCATGGGCTGGCTACTGAATTGGGTCCCAGTGGCTGAATAGTATACGAGCTTGCTTTGTAACAGGAAGTCCTAGGTTCGAACCCTAGTGATGGGTGCTTACTGCCGATGATTCCCAACACTAGGATGAAACAGCTGTCCAGTACTCCCTGGTTGGTTTTCAATGGTCCACTAACTAATATCAATCCGTGATCAGCTCCTAAAAAACAAAACTAATCCTTACAAACCAACTGCGATCTGCTCAACACGATGAATAACAATCAAGAAGACAATCACGATTTTATATAGCTCTGATTGTTGGTGAGAAGTTGGAAAACACTCACATCGACTAGTTATCTTCATTGTAGACAATTCAAAATAAGAGAATAAGTCCTGATGCTTACCTGTGATATCCGTGCAAAACGTTCCAACTCCCATTGATGTTCAATAATCAGCGAGTCACCTCTTGGTCGCCAACCTTTGATATTTTCTTCTCCTCTAACATAAGTCAAACTAGTATCCATAATCGACCGGTTGTGATGATGATTTTGTCCTTTTGAATGAAAGCAAAATGAACAAATGTTGTAATAATGATAATAATAATAAGGGGAAATACAGAAAATAAAACACAACAGGCAATGTGAACAAGGAAATTTCTCAGACAACTCAGTAGGTGAAAAAATAATTACGGATAAGATCGAATGAATATTCTTCATTCAGTTGTTTTGATTGTTGAAACTGTTGTTCACATCTCAGTAGTATGATGAGGGAAATAATTTTTAAAAAAATCATTTACCCTTTGACAAAATACATACACCATGAAGTGGAGTTATTTTTTTTCAACTCTGATATACATACACAGCAGGAGGGTAATTACAGTGTATGTGATGTTTTGGGGGGTGGGGGGAGTGATCACACTTATTTTGGATGATAATCATAAAAAAGTTTCACTCACCGAGTATTTTTTTCACCTTAGTAGATTTACTACTTAAGTGCAAAATTTTAAGTAGTACATACAATGATCAGTTATATCCATTAGGAAAATAAGGAGATACTGGTTGAAATTTTATAAGCCAACTTTTAATTTTCACCAGTTAACGATTGATACGTCGATTTGACAGTGGATTGATGCTTAAATCCTGTTTTCAACTAGTCACTGCACAAATTCACTTTGTAGCTTCTGCATTTAAGTATATCCTCATCAATGACATATACAGCGATACGCTTTATCAACATTTTGTCTTCACGTCTCTCAAACCATTATCAGTACACTATTTCCTTAGGTTCCCAGTGGAACAAAGGGCTTCAACAGCTGCATCTGCACCTTGTCCCGTTTTCTGTAGTTATTTTTAGCTGGACACACGATGGCCCATAGGCTCTCACCTTCTCAGTGTCATCCCACGACACCTCACTCGTCGTTTTCCATTCGGATTCTACTGGGGGAAGGGCTGGCGCACGGTGTATTCAATCTACCTTCAGTTTTTTCGGTATACTTGTGGAGCTATGTGTTCTTGCTTGGTTCACTGCCTGCTAGATGTCCTTGTTGCTAATATATTCCGGTAGGTGAAGGCAGCTGTTGATAGAAGTTTTCAAGCTGTTTAAAATGCTTTTGTTGGTTCACTAAGTTTCTGAACTGTATAGAATCACTCACTGACTGACTTGGCATTAGTGCTGAAAATCTGAATCTTATTCTTTATGCTGAGTGCAGCAGATTTTCATTATGATTTCAGAGAAATGCATGGTAGTCTACTTCTCCTATCCTGCTGCTGATATCCCCATCCATGACACCTTCTATTGTTGGTTACTTCATCACTCCTTTCTTCTCTGTGTTCACTTGAAGTCTTGTTTCCAAGCTCCTGATGCCGTATTAGACATCTAGAGTCTTCTTATCGGTTTAACATATTCATGTCTTCCCTCTTCCCACAACATGCGGCATAACCCAACCAACCGCAGTCAGGTTATAGCAGGAAGCCTTGTCTTCTTTTTGTCTTCACTTCGAAGGCTTCGCTGAGTTTCCCGTTGTGAATCACATGACAGGTAGTATTGTGATAAAGCTGTGAAGTGAGGCTGATATAGTGACTTCATGGTCAACGCTGTCGAAAGCCTTGCTAAAGACGACGAAGTTCAGACAGAAATTTGTCTGCCAATCCATGCTTTGTTCAATGATAATACTTAGTATTGTGATTCGATCAGCACATGATCTGTTTGTCCTGAACGCAGCTTCTTTGAGACAGAGTTTCTGCATCCTGAGCACATTCTAGTGTCTCCAGGACGACGCGACGTAATATTTTGCCTGATATGTACAGTAGCATGGCTGTGCATTTAGACATACCACATATCTCTGAAGCCTAGAACTTATTACCATATTTTCTGACCATTTACATCCAAGACCATTTCATATGACTAGTAATGTAAATCCAGCAGAATGACCGTGGTTCAGGCCAAACGCACAAAAGAAACCTACGTAATCACCACAGTAATACCGCAGGTAGGCGAAAAGGAGAAAAGAAGACAGGCTGCTTACATACAACTTTAACTATCACAAACAGCAATGAAAATCGTTGAGAACAATACTGGGTATAGCTATTTCAAGTGTTAAGTTCAAAAACTCAACAGTCAGTTAGAGTCCAACCATCATAGAGAGATCGTGAATCTCACAAAGACGTCAAGAGTGTGTAAAAACAGCAATTTAAAGTTACTCTAAGGTTATAGACTATAATCAGCCAAACATAAGTTGAAAGAAGGGATGTCCAACAATTTTGTATTGAGTAATTTAATGAGTTCCAAAATTATTCTCCGCATTTAAAACAAGTTACTGGGTAAGTATCTGTATTCCATATAGTTTAACCTATAAACACAATTGATTTTCTTTCACAATTAACCTTTTTATATCCTTACAATAACAGTGAGTTAACACTGTTCATAATTCTCCGGGGAACTAAAATAGGCGACGGCGTGCCTCATAAAATATGCTTCTACTTACTGTTGCGACAAATTATTGAATAGCGTAATATTCTATGCTGCCTGTACTGTTTGTTTATATTCATTTTTTCCCTATTCTTTAAATGTTGATAACAAAAAGAAGAATTTCGAAGGATATTCAGTTGTTGAATGTATATCTAAACTGTCGCTGCAGTACAGTTTGTGAGTTCTTCCGCTTCAATGACAGCCAAACACGTGTAGTTCAGCGAAGAATCTCTTTTCACCGGTGGATTCATTTTCTTATCTGTACAATCGCAAATATATATAAGTTATTTTGGTGCGTCGGTGGCATATTTATTTATTTATTTTTATTTACAGCTTGATTCCACACCGTATTATCCGTACAAGTGTGGAATTTTCAGCATGGATATCGGTAGCCCAAATTCAGGCCGACCACAGATATCGGATGTGTGCCGGCAGGGCATCGAACCCCGGACCATGTGCATGGTCGGTGAGCGTCCTAACCACTGTGCCACCGACGAATAGTGGTTAGGACGCTCGCCGACCATGCACATGGTCCGGGGTTCGATCCCCGGCCGACGCACTCCTTTACCTCGCTAACCCAGAGATAACGCTGGTGAAGAGGAAAGGTTGAGCATGAGGCTAGCAATCCCATCCTATAAAATAAACACTGCTACAGAAACTTCAAGCCACTAGCTTGAAGCCCTATGTTCCACTGGGGAACGTGAAGGAAATAAAAAAAAATTTTGTATGTATGTGTACATTAGGTTTGTCAAACAAAAATAAAATTGGTTATGGTTATTTTAATTAAAGGGGGGTTGAGAATTACTAAGTTTTGGGTGGAGTCATGTAATACAAAAACGGTCAAGAAAATTAGGTGTTAATGAAATTATAGTAGTAACAAAGGTGATGAGTTGCCACAAACACTTGTTAAAAAGGAGTTGCGTAATAATGTGAATAGTTTGATGATTGAGTTGTACTCAAGATGCATTTAGAAACAAAATGGAAAATATGAAATTGCGTACGAGTTCCAAATGAATACAGGAATTATGGGCAATTAAAGAAACCAGCAGACAAACAAAATAAGGCCATCAAAAACCAACAAAGTTGTTATCATGATAGTGGAAGTGGTTGAGTAATTCTCTTTTGTATGCACAGCCCTGATTTTCCTGTATGAATGACCAGAGATTCAGAAATACACGAAAGACGAAACCATGTTGCCTTTTGCAGGTTATTCTTGACTCTGTAGATTACTTTGAAGAGGGGGGAGGCGTTTGTTGAGATGGAATGATCAGTGTTAACCAGGTGTCCAATTTTCGCAATCCCTATGGCACCATTATTGCGTTATTGCTACCATGCTGGATAGTGTTCTTGAATCCTCTTGGACAGGATGTGTGTCTAACGACCAATGCACCTGACTCCACAGCAACAAGTGAACTGATATATGCACACATTGTCATTAAGTCTACTGCAGATCAGCGGGCAACTGCAGAACACTATTCTTAACGTTGCTGCAAAGAATGTTCTTCTCAGAGATGATGTGATACTTCTCTTGAGAATATCGTTTGTTAAATCTCCCTTGAAATTCAAGTTCATGTAGAATTTCTTTTTCTGTGCAAGTGAAGTTCCATTTCTCAAAATTCTTTGTTTGATACTTTTATCAATAAAAATTCGTAGGTATCCATTTTCGTTGAAGATTTCTTTCAAAAGACCTAATTTTCTTTCTAGAACACTGGGACAACAAGATGCGTCAGACACAAGTAGTAAGACACTAAATGTAATTCCACTTTTGTTGAATGGGTAGCCAGGCACAAAAGCATATTATTTGATCATTCTAAATAGCTTTTCTATGGATTGATCTTCTTAAGGTCCCATCACTTCGTCTTGTTAGTTCCACATCAAGAGAGGGAATTTTCGATTCGTTTTCCACTTCAAGAGTGAGTTTTATTGCTGAATGGCAACTGTTAAATGTCTGCAGCAGTAGACTGTGGGTCATTACTGTTGTCACAAATCCTAATAATTATAATAATAATAATGCAGCTGTACGACAATGCTGCATGCCAAGTAATCCACAACGGGAAACTTACGGAATACTTCGAAGTGAGGACAGGAGTGAGACAAGCTAGCTGCCTACTATCGCCAATGATTTTCCAGATTGCAGTAGACTGGATAATGCGACAGACAGCGGGCAATGAGGAAACACGCATAAAATGGCTATTCATGAAAAACTTGGAGGATATGGACTTCGCCGATGATATATGTCTGATTTCCCACAAACTGGAAGATATGCAAGCGAAAAGCAACAAGTTGGCAGAAGAAGCATCAGAGATACGACTTCAGGTGAACATGTAGAAAACAGAGGTGATGAAGATTCCTAGTCAACACCACCAACAGCAACAACAGACAACAATCAGCCAGCATAAATGGGAGGAACCTGAAAGAAACAACCTCTTTTACCTACCTGAGAAGCACCGTTTCTACTACAGGTGGACGGAACTGACGAGGATATCAAAGCAAGAATCGGAAAAGCAAGACAAGCTTTCACTACTCTCAAGTTTGTGTGGAGGTCAACAGCACTCAGCATCAAAAATAAGATCCGGATTTTCAACT